TAAAACCAAGACCAATGTGTAAACAACATAGCAGGAGGTCTTAAGAATATTAGGTCTTAAAAAATTTATGAATTGTAGCTGCGAAACATTAGGTGTACCCCTCTGTCGTGAGGATTGGCGCTCTTAGTGGACTGGTTGAGGAGCTGCAGCAGAGCGGGCCAGCGGTCTGGGGTTTCATGTTTGACCATCACTGCACAAAGTTGGGAGACAGAGTGCTGCACCTTGTGTCTGCAACGCATCAATATGGAACATTACACGGTGTTAATCTGCAGGACACATTATCGTGTTATTTCTGTGGATTAGTCCTGCGCTTACTCTGCTTCCATGGAGAAGGCTTGGAGCACCACCGCTTTTAGGCTAGAAGAAAAAGGTAAATAGAGTCACAACTAGGCCTGGGTGAAGGTGATTTTAGTAGGACAACTCTAGTATTTCATTAAAGAGAAGAAGCAGACCTCTCTCTGTCATTAGGGCTGATCTTATTCCAGTGTTTTTTCACTCTTAACCTCAGCATCACTGCGGCTGACTGGCGAATCTGCATGCAAGCAGTAAATCAGAGAACATATAGATGTTGCTGAATTTACAATAACAATAGTATTAATCGCTGCAAGCCATAATCATCTAAATTATGAATAATATGCTTAAAAAAACCTCCTTGTTTATGTATAACTCCAACCTCCATGAAGACATCTAGAAATGTTTTTACTTTTCTGCTTTATGTGCAAATATTGTTGTCTTGGTCTTGAATTGTGCATTAAATGAAAAGAAGCTTGACCAAGTGCAGTATTGGAAAAAGAAATAAAAATAAAATAAATATAATCTATAAATAAATAAAACATCAAGCTTATGAATTAAGCTGCCAAAAGACAGGAGGAGTTTCATCAAGTGAACAGAGGCTTTTTTTTTTTTTTTTCAAACACCTACTGAACAATGGCGTTTCTATAGCAACATGTGCTGTAACTGCTTCAACAAACCTCAGGGTTTTGGGAGCCACTCATGACAGCACAAAGGGCTGGTATTATAGCCGGGTCTTTGAAAGCCTGCTTCAGCTGGACTGTGGCCTAAAAAAAAGGGGAGGGGAATTGGGGGTGTCGTCAAAAAAACTGCTTAGGTTGACAGTACAACAGCATATGTTCATTACTCGAACTTTACAGACAGTGGACATAAATACGCGGTTGCTCAGGAGATCTTGACCGAACCTAAGCAAACCGTTCGACCGTTAAACTGTCATTTGATTTCAACCGTTAACTTAGCTAACTTAACTAACTCCCGAGCTGTTATTTCTAACTGCTAACAGCAGTTATCTGGCTTTCCCTCGACACTAGCTAAAAAAAGGAGCTAGCTTCACTTATTACCTGCTGTATAATGGCATTGTCAGGCTGTGTCAGCTGTAACAGGATTTGCTCGAGCTCTTCTATCATCTTGATAGTTGCGATGAACCTCCACTTGCTCTTTAGGCGACCGTTAACGTGTAAATATCACTCAGTGACACAGACTGAAGAGTAAGCAGTCCTTTCACGGTGTGGCCTCAGTCATGTAAACAAAGTCTTTTGCTGTTGGTTGGAATGCTAACTCCTGAGCTTTTTTTAGAGAAAACGCCTTGAAAAAACCGCGTATGTCTGAATGTGAGGAGTCGCCGAGTAGCAGTGACAGGTATGAGTCTGGCTCGGTCAGATCCGCTCTGGAACGTTTGGACAGCCAGAAGCACGCGGGACAGAACACCGGCCAGGAGTTCCATGTGAGCTGAATTAAAGGGACATGCACATTCTTAAGATTTATGAATATAAACAGCGCCCACAACTGGAATGGAGGACAGCTGAAGCCCAAAAATAAAGAAAAAAAAAAAAAAAAAAAAATCAGCTTTTGGTGCCATGTAAAACTTCAATAACGAATGTGAGACCCGTTTGTCTTTCAGGACGTCTTTGTCTTCAGAGTGTGACTGCAGGGATATACTTTTTTTTTTTTTTTTTTTATTAACTTACGTGTTCGAAATAATGGTCAAAAGTCCCATAAACATGTTTCTAAACATCGTTCATAGTCTGAAGCAGATGAGCAAATTGCTTTGGCAACATAGGTGTGAGTGTTTAAACTGAACTCTTTTAATGCCTTCCGTACTTTGCTTGTTTTGAAGTAATATTAGTTTAAAGTAATTTATAGGACATAAGGTTCCAGTCACACATTTACAAACTTTCGACATCTAAATAAATTGACTCATGTTATAAAGCTAAATATTGAATTGCAGTTATCATCCAAAAGAACTGCTTGGATGTGGCTTTTGGAAGGGTTTTATATTTCTACTGCATTGCATTCCATCACGAATAACAATATTTGACTGGTTCAATGGACTTTCACCCCCCTTTAAAGTCCATCCAACCAGTTAAGGGAAGGAAAAAGAGGAAAAGACTGGTTAAATTGAGGGTGATTGCAGTGCATATACCATCATCCCAATATTTCACAATTGCATTGTGCGGCTTTAGCTTTCTTTAATCCAAATGGGGTCAAAATTACAAATGCAGACACAAATGCATACATAAATCAGGACTAAAATGCGGTTACATTTCTTTTAGTCTTTTGAAGATAAATCGCCTACTTTCTGTACGACATTAAATAGCTTGTGGTACAATTGTGGTTGGATGTATGATCCCATTCTTTTTCGAAAAAGTACAGCTTGTGCTTGGTTTCCTGGCACACAGACTATGCCTGCTCGATATTAGGAAAACATGTGAGCATGTTGGTGGCATAGGCGTAAATACCGGGGGGGTCCAGACCCTCCCCCCCAATCTTGGAAAAGTCTAGAATTGCTACTTACTAGTAATTTTTGATGGTGCAGCTTGAACACACACAAAAAAATTAAACCACATTTAATTACTTTAATTATTACTTTCTTCATTTTAAGAAGAGACAAAAAAATGTATGCATGTTCTGTAGATAAAACTGTTGTAGATTCTGTCTTTTCCTTTCTCTTTTAGCCTCTAAAACTGCTTACACGCTGCAGCTTACATGACCATGTTGATGTGTGTCATACAGAAACTGACTCAAACTGATTAGATTATCCTTGAGGGAGGGTACAGATTACAGAGAAGAATAAAAAGCTAAACTTGCGCTACAATCTTTGCCTGACTTGGTGTCACCCCTAAGGTTTGCTAACTGTGGCCCCGGCGCTGGATGGTGAATGTAACTCTGTGTCTGTTCCATTTGTATGACATGAATGGCTTATAACATTTGATCATTTTTTGGCATTAAAGCCTGTTTTTTATATATAACCAAATCTCATTATTTCTCAAGGTAATTTACACTTAGGGGTTCTGGTCAGGTCCTGGAACTGGTAAACGGACCTGGTGGAGCACAGAGACTAATTGAACGAACTCCAACAAAACAATGCAAATGTGCATCTGTAAAACTCTACCCATTTGACTGGAACATTTCCTGGAACCCCTCTTTTCAAATTCAAAACCTGTGCATCCAGTCATCAAAAACCAGTCTGTAATCCACTCATACATGCCAATGCTGTTGTTGCGCACAATTGACTGCCCCCCCCCCACACACACACACACATACAGACCTCCACTGTCAGGTGACCCTTCTGTGAGTGCATGGCTTGTACAACATCAGAAAAACACGCCCTGACCTGCCAGAGATCAAGTTAGAAATGCTAATGTCCTCCATTAGGCCTTCTCACATCATTTCATCACTAACTGAATCATTATCATGTCAAGGCAGAGGACAAACAACACTTAGAAGGTAATGGACAGCCTAATCTGAATCATCTTTGTGAATAGACTTGCAGAGACAAAGAGGCAGGAGTTTGCATTTCAAGTCCAGGACTGTAACTGCAGTTTAGTGTCTTGCCTCCCTTCACCCATTTTAGGAGTCCATCTCGGGTTTATGGTTGAGGACAAAAACCTGCAGACAATTCTCTTGCCTTCATTTATAGTGCCTTCCAAAAGTATTCACGTCCTTTTTTTATATATATATTTTGTCACTTTCTAGCTAAGAGCATTTTACTGAGACTCAGGTGATAAACCATCAAAAAGTAGCAATTTAAATGTATGTTTAGGGTCTATGTTCTGCTAAAAAGATGAATCCCAGACCAGGTTTCAAGTATTTTGCTGCCTCCAAAAGGGTTTCTTCCAAGACTTTCATGTCAAAATTAGAGTTACAGGGCTGAATAAAAAGGCATAATATACCTTTCAGGATCTCATTTGTAAGAAATAAAGAAATAAAAGCACACCATTTTCTTCTGTGCAGGCCCATCACATAAAATCTTGGATAATGGATTTAGTTCTCTAATTTGAGTCTAAAACTAATAAGAAAATAAGGAAGTATGGATCAAAGATGTTAAAAAGACTCACAACTAAGAGTTAGAAAGCTTCACGTACAAAATAGTGTGCCAAATCAGTAATTTGTTTGTTTCTCACGTATCACTTGGTGCAAAAAATGCTAAAAAAGTAGATTACTTTTATGTAGTCAAAATTGTAGGTTTTACTGAATGTTGTTTCTTCCTCTTATTGGGAGTGGTCCACTATTTCATAACACTAACGTTTTAGTAAATTTGGCATACAGGTTAATACCATTCATTTTAGAAATTTGTCCTGTGATAACACAGAATCAACTGAATTGATCAGGCTCTGGACAATAAGTATAAGGGCACACAGAAGAATGTAATTGTTGCAACTAAATGGCACACAAAAGTGTGGTATTTGTATTTCAAATAATATTTTCACACAAAAATAAGAATAAAATCAGATAAAATACAAGTGCATAAATAAATCAATACAATAAAAGTACATTTCTTTAGGATATTTGTGCTTCAAAAGGTGAGGCTATTCGGAAAATATTACTAATTTTCAAACGACTGAGACTTTATTCTGAATATTTTAACTGGGCGTTCAATGAAGGGAGAATTTAAAAACAAATAGGCGCAGTAACAAATAAAAAGGCTTAACCTGAATGAGACGACGGGGAAAAAAATGTGATTGGTTGAAGGAAGGTTCCCGCCTACCCCTGTGACCTCACACCCCCCACACATCCCTATAAACAGACTGAGCGATGTTTTCCCGATGTTTTACGGCGTCGTTCTTTTACTCGCAAAGTAAAAGGACCGTCGTTTAGTTGTTTCTTGTTTTTCTCGTGACCCACAATTTTCCGAAAGAAAAATGGCAGAATGGAAGACGCAGTTAACTTACAATTACAACCCGTCTTATCATACCTACGCCTACAGCCTTGTGTACCAGTCCGTAGCCGAGCAAAACGACGGAAACCTGCCTGCCTGGGACGAAAATGGGGAGCCGGTCTACAGCGACGGGGCCCCGCAGAACCTTTGCACCGCCGTCGCTCCCATTCCCACTATGAGCGAGAACGAGTCCCCACTGTGCAACCCAGAGACCGTAACGGGAAATTATCAGAGTTCCGAACTCATGTACGTCGGTGGGACCCAGGCAGAGCCCAAAGCGGAGGCCTATGGAGACGGAGGGAGTGAGGTGAACCGTGCCAGGAAAGGCTCCGTCAGCGACTCTGAATCGCACACTTCACCTGGTAAGTTGTACATTTAAATGTACGGCAAGTTTTAAACTTTTTTTTTTTCACTTCTAGTTAGTTTTTCTTTATGTCAGCATTCCGTTCAAATACTTACGCTTCCTGCAACAAACGTGTAAATGTCTTTCTCGAGTTTTAAAGATGATGCGAAGTTTGTTTCCATCTTGGTTTTGAGGTCTCCAAATAGGGCGCCACCCAGCGCGCGGAACACCAAGTGGCGCCGTCTAGCGATCGAGTCTGTTTAGTGCCAGAACTGCCACAATTCAATAAATAAATGATTGACAATTTTAGGTTAAAAATGAAAATATCTGCAATTTTCTATGTCTAGTTGAATGATTTAATAATTTAAGTTTTTTTATTTAAAAAAAAAGGAAGCAACGTGTAATGTATATATTTTTCAAAATTCATTTTATTATTCAACCTTACCAATCAGTCTGCGAGCGAGTCTAACGTTGTTATAAGGATTACCATCTAGATGTTGTTTATTTGGTGAGTCACACGGACAGCATCAAGTTAGTTCTCGGTGCACTAAACTATGAACCAATAGGTGTATTAACATTTCTTTTACTAATAACCCAGTTCTTTCTCATTTAGACTCTTGGAGCTCTGTCAGCAGCCGCGAAGGAAGTCTTCCTAAGGTGGACCCCACTACCTGGGTCGAGAATGCTGCTAAGGAGGAGCCTGTCATCAGAACCGTGGATGGCAGTGAGGATGTTTCCAGCTCTCTCATGGAGGACTCCCGAAACGTAGCCACACTCGGGAACGGGGCTAGCGACAACTCAGCCCCTGCACCCCTGCCTTCCCCGAAGGCGTCTTGCACCAATCCTGCAGTTAATCCCAAAGTGAAGGTCCGGGCAGCCTTCACAGAAAGTCAGATGAATGCTCTCGTCCAGCGCTTCAGTGTTCAGCGCTACCTCACTCCAGCTGAGATGAAGAACCTGGCAGACATGACTGGACTGAGCTATAAACAGGTGAGACATGATCAATGAACGATGGGCGCAGGATGGCGTCGTTTGGCACACTTTGTAACGGTTGTGATCTCGGTTTGTAGGTGAAGACCTGGTTCCAGAACCGGAGGATGAAGCTCAGGAGGCATCAGAAAGATACCAGCTGGGTATCAGAGCGTTATGCCGTCCACAAGGACGCTTCCGCTCACAGACCGGCAATGTCCAACATGGCCCCACACATCCCACCTGTAAGTGACTTTGACGCTTTATAAGAAGAGTGCACTAGGAACTCTGTTTCTGTTAAGTGTCCAGTACGAGTTTTCTGTTAAGAGATAACAGAGGAATAGCGATCTGGACACAGAAAAACGCATCCATAATGGAGGCCTAACCACAGCTGTGGTTACGGCCTCAAAGGCGAGATGCAACACTATACCACCCAAACGTTTTTGGTGCATGCCGGTTGTAAAGTCAGATTACTAATTTGTCCCTTGTTTGTTTTTGTTTTTTTTGCAGTATCAAGGAGATGGTCCGCCCCAGTTCAGGGAGAATTACAGCCAGCACGCAATGGAGACACCTTTTAAGAAGCCCCCACCAAATATGCCCTACTACCTTGCTGCTGTGGGCGGCACAGCTGGATCCTCCGGTTTTCCACCGTGGCCCAATAATGCGTCGCAGGCCACTGTGCCAAACCAGGCCGATGATGGTAGATGGTCCGTACCACAAGGGGGTGGCCCCTTTGATTACAGCTGCAACACCTTCAACCCAAATAACTACATGCATGCTGCACATTTTGAAAACAAGGAGGGGGAGCCTGTAAACAGCCCCCTAAACCCAGCTGTAATGCATAATGGAAGCCAGTAGCGGGTGCGGGTAGTTATGGAAACCATTAGTGATTTCACTGAGGTGTTGATAATGATTTTCAAAGATGCTCACCTCATTTTGTAGTGAAATGTGATTTTTAAGCAGAATGCATTGTTCTGTGTCTTTTTCAATGTACTATTTTTTTTTTCTTCTTTATTTCATTTTTATATACTACTATTACGTGTGTTCTGAATGCTTCGTCACTTTAAGCAAAAACTTCACTGTGGTGCAAAGTAACATACTTGATATGCACAATTATGTAATAGCATGTTTTAAAACAGAAATGCAGGCTCAATTTACAAGTCTTGTTGTGTTGTCTTGTTCATTTTTGTGTTAATGCATGGCTATGTTTCCATAATCTGTTTTCTACTGTTTAAAATCTTTTAGATGGTGCTGGAGACAAACTGATTTTGATCATTTATCTGTTGAAGATTAAAGCTTTGAAAAATTAGCTTTTTTTTTTTTTTTTTTTTTTTTTTTTTTTTTTTTTTTTTTTTTTTGGTTTTTTTAAAAAAAAAAAGTTTTGGGAAAAAACAACCCCTGGGTGGTTT